ACCCTCCCCCCCTCCCTCCCCCGCTGCGTTTCCTAGAAAGTTGTATCAGTGTGGCCATGCAGTGCTAAAACGGTTCGCTTGCTAGAAACGCGCGTGTGTGTGTGCCGGAGGAAGTAGCGTGGTGATTATTGTTCGATTTCACCCCAAAAACGCCGGGGAAGCCCCAGCCCTAAAAAGAGTTTTGGGGTCTTTTTCGGGTTTGCTGTTAGGCTGGAGGGAGCTCTGCCCCCCTCCGGCTGCAGACTAAAGGGGTGCCGGAGGGGGGGAGTGGGTCAAGGGCTTGACTTGGGGTGGGGGGGCACACGATGATGGGACGTGGATCTGGCACCCCGCAAAGCCAGGACGTTTCATCTTTCGCCCCTGTCGTCTCGGTGGGTACCGAGAGGGAGCCCTTAGTTCCTTGCAATAAGAAAAGGGGGGGGGAATAGATTCAGACGGGCTCCCGCAGAAGGAAAGTGTGGAACGGATTTCATTTGGTCGCTGGAAGGAAGAAAAAGAGAAGCTGTCATTTGTGTGTGTCCCTATACGAGGGCCTCCTGGTTCCTTGTTAGCTTATAGAGAGGAAAAAAAAAAAAAAAGAAACCGCGTTTGATGTTACGTCTGACCAGCTGCTGTTCTCCATAATAACAAGAGAGAGAGAACTGCCTGCCCTGGCGAGTTGCGTCACTTTGCTTCAACTTTAGGCTAGAAATCAAGAGAGAGGGAGAGACGAGTTTCAAGGGAGGCAGGAGCGAGCTGGAAAGCCCTGCCGTCTTCCTCCCACCCACCTACCCCTCCTCCTTTACCCCTGTCCTTTCCCCACCCCTTTCCCCCCTCCCTCCAAAAAAAAAAAAAAAAAAAAAGAAAAACCAAAAAAAAAAACTTTTCCCTCAGAGAAAGAGGGAGATCTCTTTGGAAACATGGAGCTGCTGTGCTGCGAGGTGGATCCCATGAGGAGAGCTCTGCCTGACCCAAACTTGCTCTACGATGACCGCGTTTTGCACAACTTACTCACCATAGAGGAGAGGTATCTGCCCCAGTGCTCCTACTTCAAATGCGTCCAGAAGGACATCCAGCCCTTCATGAGGAGGATGGTGGCCACTTGGATGCTGGAGGTTTGTATCCCGCTGCCTTCCCCCGGCCCCCTCACAGCGGTACCGGTACGGGGCGGGGGGGGG